CCCGATACATATAAAAAATTTAGAAAACCACTTTAAAACTTGTTCATTGATCCTATTACTAGACCTGCACGATATTTTATTTATTCTTTTAGTAAGCTTTACACTTTCTTCTTTATTTACATAGGAAGTGTTTGATGATTATTTAGAAAGAAAAGCCAAGAAAACAACAGAAAGAGGAATTGATCAGAGTTGTTTAAAATGGACTCCACCAGGCAAAAGAATTCAATCACCATCATAGATTTCCTTTTATTTGCTTTTATCTAGGATCTTAATCTTTTGATTGTTTTATATTTAGAGGGACATAGCCCGGCAATGTTTCTCAAATTTGAAAAATAAATGTCTGAAAAAGATTTATCATGTCTGACATTGTCAGTAATAAATTTCTGAGGAATGAATAACTGGCCTGAATAAAAGGACTGTCTGAACTTTCATTTGACCTAATGTTAACTTGTAAGGGAAAATCTCAGAAGTATAAAAGTGATACATAAAGCTGAAATTGAGCTTGAAATTGATAAGAATAGCCATTAAACTGTCTTCAGCCAAAGAAATGAAATTTCTGACATTACATTTGTATTTGTAAAAGTGAATATTAACTAGACTAATATGCCTGTTGTAAGTAGCAGACAATAACATTTAAAATAAAACAAAGTTTCTACTGTAAATTGGTTTGACAAGAAAATTGTATTTGAATTACATGAATGAACTGTTTTGTAATGTAATAAAGTTCTGTTTTTCCTCTTATTTAATTCTGTCTTACAGGAACATATTAGAAAATTCCTTGGAGATATAACATGTACTTTAACAAGAAACTAATTATATCTCTTGACCTGCATAAGGTTACCCTCAACCAGCTACATGCAGTTCACACTGTTTAATATACTTCAGTCTGCTTAAAGCAATATTACCTCTTAGAATAAACATAAAACTTAGATTCTCGAATATATATCCTTATTGGCGAAGTTCATCTTTAAACTAACTTTAAGCATCTTACAATAATTATGTGTTTTATGGATTTATCAGATTATACAAGAACTCTTATGTTTAATGTTAATGACACCAGGTAAGTCCCTTGATGAATGTATACTTTTATTGGCCAAGTTTGAGAAAGTTTAAATTCTGAGAAATAGTATCAGTTGAAAATATCAGTGTTTATTTAATTGTGGTCTAATTAAACACAGAAACAGAAATTCCAGGAATATGGTAAGAAAACCAATAAAATGTGTCACAAACACACACGTTTTTAGAAATAAATGTTTCTTTTTGATATCTAAAGAGGGAGACGTGGTGGCCCAGTGAGTTAAAACACATACTCGCCAACCTGAAGGTCCAGGGTTCAATCCCGAAAAAAAAGATTGTGATATCTTTGGATTTCTCCACCCGGTTTCCCTGTGCAAGTTAAAGATTTTTCAACAGTTGAAATCGAAAAAGAGCAGGCTAATGCCACTGTCCTGGCAAAATTTCCGTCATTGCACCCTGCATGGTGTTGACTGTCTTCATTAATCCACAAGGTGCAGAACAGTAGGACGTAAAACTCCATTCGTTTCGTTTCTGATAAGAATCTTGAACTAGAAAGTGAAAAGAGAAACCTAAAAATGTTAATTTTAGTAGTTGGATATAAATGGAAGACAGGTTTCTTTAGGAGTTATGATTTCAGATTAGAGATTTCAGTAATAAAAGAAAAACTTGAGCAAACTATATATCCAAACAACCTGAAAGAACAAAAAGGTTTAAGAATGATTTTTTTTTTAATAGTGTTTGTATAGATCTTCTACATATCCCTTATACACATAACATGAGAAAAGCTCAATGACTTTAATTTCTGTTTATCTATGAATACGGCTCAGTAATTTTAAAATAATTTGTCCATGAAATAATCTGAAAATAGGTATTTGTTTCAACTTTTTAGAGAGATTCTTGACTGTGCCAATGAAATTGTTATGTTGAACTGTCATTAAAGTCTGGTTTATTAATCAATAGTATAGTTCTACTTTTACACAATTAGAACTTCTTATGTATTTGTGCAATAATGATTTTTGCCCAAGGATATGTTAGTTTGTTCATTCGATGAATATGGTGATATCTTTTAACTGACACCTGATACCATTTTCCATTATGACGTACTTACTCACTTATGATTGAATGAAAAGTTCATTAGCTTCTACCAATGTGTCGTGAAGTTGTCTTAATATTATCTGCCATCAAAAACTGTGGCAAATATTACTGATATCCATACAAAATCTATGCCTCTCCATTATCTGCATCAAATATTGTGGCAAATTTTACTGAAATATACAAAATCTATGTCTCTATATTATCTGCCATCAAATATTGTGGCAAACTTGATATCAATGTAAAGCTGTTTTTGATAAACAGTCTGATATACAAATATATTGGAATAAAAAGTTGACAGGCACTTTTTGTCAAGAGTAAGATAGAAATTTTTCTCTAAGCATGATTATTAATATTCAAGTTAGTCTATATGTAACTGATTCGAAAATTCGAATATATTTATTTGTACTTTAATAATGAAATGCAAAGAAAAATAAATTAGCCATAATGACAAAAGCTGAAGTATCTAGACAGATATTATCAATGACAATATCAAAATATAAGTAATACCTACAAGGGAGTACATTAATACAATACTTTAATAGGTAATTCAATGACTTTATCTCATTAACAGTGAAGTAATTTAACTATCAATTTAAAATATATACATGTTGTTGGGAAATGTATACTAAAACTATTAATGTGTTAAAACATGTAAATAACAATTCCATTTTATTGATAGAATAAGAATTGTCTCAGAATAACAAAATTAATTTCTAATGGACAGTTTAACAATAATATCATGTGTTTATATAGATTAAAGACAGATTTATGATGATGAAATGAAATAAAAACAGGAATTTTACATTTTCATGAACCTCCTACTCAGTTTTTTTTTAATTGTAGGTGACATAAAAATTATGTATGGCAGATTGGAAATGTTTAAAGACCAGTTGATGTCTAAATGAAAAGCTCAAATCATATCTGTACAAGGCTACATTCACAAAAATGACTTAATGATTGACAGGCACTGGTATATAGAAACACTACCACACTTTTATATTTTTTTAAATAAGTTATGTTAAAGATAAATCATCATTTTTTTTGTGTGTGTAACTGCTTCTCTGGGGGTGACTTCGATTGAGGCTTTGGTTTTAACTTAAGGTTCTAGACGTCATCTGACCCAGGAGAGTTGAAAATATGGCCACAAGAAATGTCTATATATGGTTTAAAAGAGCCACCATATTGCCATAATTCAATCAAAATCAATCATTTCTCTATTAACTCTATTAACTCGACCGCAGAGTTTTAATCAAAGTCATCCCAAGTGATTTGTTTAGTTAGTTGAAAAATCAGTTTTTATTTCACCATATCAAGATACATTCATACCAATAATGTTCAATGTTGAAATACTGTACTAATAACAGACCTACTGGAAGAACAGATTATAATCAATATAAGTTTTAGAGTAAATCTGATTGTAAATCTCCCAAGGCTCTGGTCATACGTTTGATTTTCTCTTCCATTCCACGTTTTGTTTTTTCTGTTTCTCTTAACAGATCTCTCATTTCTTCTTCTACCACAAATACCTATAAATAATTACCATGGAACAGTTTCAAAATAAAATACTATGTAACATACATAGTAACATGGTTCTGATAAAGCAAACCAGGCTTGGTATAGTACTTGACCTTGTTAAAACGGCTATTTACACTAGCGTAATGAGTGCTCTACAATGACCACTATAAATGAAAGAGTTTCTTCTCTGTTGAAAAAGAGTAGAAAAGGTCCACAAAAAGTCAAATTTTCAGTCCATGCAAAGAAGATTTAGTAATCTTGGCCTGGCACATTTATCTGAGACCAACTTTGTTTAGTATGCCAGATCTCCATCAAACATTGAGGACCAGGCAGGCTTAGGACAGAGATATAACATATTCCAGAGTTCAATATTAAACCTAAAAATAATGATCAAGTAAAATGAAAAAATATGAAATGATCTTACTCTTCTATTAGCTTGTTGTATCTCTTCATTTTTCTCTTGTTCAAGTTGAGTTATATGTTGTTGATAAGATTGGTCTTTAGATTCTAGTTGATTTCGGAATGTATCATCTACTGACTTTAATTTTTCTACAGCCAGACTGAAACAACATTTATTTCTTACAGAAAATAAGAAGGAGAAAACATTTTCCTTGCAAAACAATGATTTGGTAGCACAAATGTTAAGTCCAATTTCTAGTATGATGCTGAATTTTTATGCCATTCACCATTAACCAGAAGTCATAGCAAAGATCCCATGAAAATTTGCTACGAGGACTGGGCTATTGCCATATCTAGACACAATTAGACACATTGCATATTTTCTTTATTGGTCCATTACTCCAGAAAATCAAATTCACATACAAGTAAAAGAGCAATATCTGAAGAGGGCTCTGTACAGAATTACAACACAGAAACATTATTTTCTGGTTTGAGTTGATCATTGAGTATTGTGGATTAGTCCAAGGAAGCAAAAAGTGTCAGTCCTAGGGTTTTTACATAAAATGACATACCTAGCTGCTTCTACAGCTCTATCTCTTTCTTCAGTCAGTTTCTTTTCTTTCTGTGACCAGGATTGTTTCATCTGACCAACTTGTTGTTCTAATTCACTAATTAATCCTGACTTCTCTCTCCATTTATTATTTAATACACTGTAGAAAGACAAGAAAGCTTTCAGATAATAACAATTGATAACAAATAATAACAGAAATAACACTTAATAACAATTTATAACAGTAATAACCATTTACAACAGTAATAACCATTAACAAAAGTCATAACAATGAATAACATAATAACAATGAATGACAGTAATGACCATCAAAAACAATATTAACCATTAATAAAAGTTATAACAATGAATAACAGTAATAACCATTAATAACAGTATTAACCATTAACAAAAGTTATAACAATGAATAACAGTATTAACCATTAACAAAAGTTATAACAATGAATAATAGTAATAACCATTAATAACAGTATTAACCATTAACAAAAGTTATAACAATGAATAACAGTATTAACCATTAACAAAAGTTATAACAATGAATAATAGTAATAACCATTAATAACCAGTAAAACAAAAACGATGCCAAAAAACATAAATAATAATAACAATCAATATTATTTTTATAATTTTTTGGCCAACAA